GGCCCTGTGATGAACTGCACAGGGCCCCTAGGCTAAATGGCCAGTAGGGCGTTGTCTTAACTAGTTATCTCAGGAATCTGGGTGTAACCGAGGAATTTAATAATACCTAATCTTTTACATTCAAGCTTTCCAGCTTAGAAACTTTACCCTTTCATTATAGCATAAAAAGTTGCAAAGTAGGGTGTCTTGTGAACTTACAGTTAACAGGATTTTTGACAAGTATAATACAAAGGCAGATAATAGGTTAATGATCTACATGGCTTAATATTTCAAGGTAGAGAATAAATTTAGATCCCAACATTAGAATTTATGAGGCACCGCTGAAGTTTCAGAGAGGGTTGTTATCTGGTCAGGGAAAGCCAGGCATGGGTGAGTTCAAGGAATGGGCAGGCATTCCAAGCAAGTTTAGATATTGCAGCAATTTATAGTAAAACAGAAATTAACTTTTCATGACTTTGTGACTAGATGGCTCCCAATCATAAAATGGAATTAGGCTGGGTTCATTAAAATGTTATGTGCTAGGAAGGTACAAACCATAACTTTGAAGATGAGACAGTAGGACATTGAAATTTTTGATCAAAATAGGGAAATGCTTACACTGAAGGTGGGACTTGGCTTTGTCCTAAAGGAAAATGTAGTTCCTTGGTTGGGAAGAGTGTGAAAGGTATTTAAGCTGGAGAAATTGTATGAAAAAATTAACAGAGGTGGCAAGGTAAACTATGTGTTCAGGTAACTAACTGTGAATGTGAAAAACCAGCCTCTACTTCAGGCAAAGCCTGTCCAATGAAAGGGCATGACCTTTGTCCTTGGAAAGACCCACAGAGCACTCCTAGGCACATTCCCACCCTGCTACGTTGTTTATCTACAAATAACAGAAGAGAGATCTGCTGGGCCAGGTGTCCCTGACTCAGTCAGGCTAGGTGGGGATCCCTAGCAACCCCCAGCAGCCACCAATCAGCATGAGACAGGGAAATACCTGGGATGCCAGATGACCCTCCCAGTAGTTTATGGTGGTTGATAACCTGTTGGGAAACCATGTAGTTCAGCAGGAACACCCCTCTTGGCTTAAACCAATCGGTTCAAATGAATCCCCCTCTTGTACTAACCAATCACTCCTACTCAACTTTTTCCAGCCTGTGAATGTGCTAATCATATTTTAGAGTTGTTGTTTGATTTTTCCCGCAGTGTGTGATGATTTGCTAAGAGATGCTATGATGTATGTGGGGGGTCCCTGCCTTCTCCAAAGAATGTATAAAATCGCTGCAAACCCTGGGCTTGGGGCCTCTCAGCGTCACCAGTTGCTGTGTGTGTGCGCGCGCACGGAGGACCAAGCTAGCTTGCAATAAACACCTCTTTGCTGTTTACATCAATCTTGGTCTCTGGTGGACTTTTGGGGGTCCCGAATTCGAGCATAACAAATGGGTATGCGTTGAAAAGGATTCTTGTGAGCTCAAGAATATAACAACATTTAAACTGATAAGAGCCAAGTCATATATGTGCTCATTTATTAAATAATGTTAATTTATTCCGTATCTATTGAACATCATAAATATTAATTGAATGGATAAAACCTAGAAATGAATGAATAACACTATTCCAAGCACTGGGAACAAAATGATGAATGAGGCAAAATTCTCTTCCCCAGGGAGCATACTAATAAGAAGGCAGGAAATAAGGTTTAAAAAAGAGTAGATAGGGACTTGTTTTAGGCAGCTTTTTCACTACTGTTGTTACCTTTG